CAGGCTGTACTAGAGAATTAAAGTGTAGTTTGTTTTCTGTGTCAGGCTGTGCTAGAGAATTAGACTCTGTATTGTTTTCTGTGTCAGACTGTACTAGAGAAATAGAGTCTGTATTGTTTTCTGTGTCAGTCTGTACTAGTGAATTAGAGTCAGTATTGTTTTCTTTGTCAGGCTGTACTAAAGAATTAGAGTCTGTATTGTTTTCTGTGTCAGGCTGTACTAGAGAATTAGAGTCTGTATTGTTTTCTGTGTCAGGCTGTACTAGAGAATTAGAGTCTGTATTGTTTTCTGTGTCAGGCTTTACTAGAGAATTAGAGTCTCTATTTTTTTCTATGTCAGGCTGTATTAGATAATCATATTCTGTTTTGTTTTCTGTGTCAGGCTGTACTAGAGAATTAGAGTCTGTATTGTTTTCTGTGTCAGGCTGTACTAGAGAATTAGAGTCTGTATTGTTTTCTGTGTCAGGCTGTATTAGAGAATTATCTGTATTGTTTTCTGTGTCAGGTCTGTAGTTGTATTGTTTTCTGTGTCAGCTGTACTAGAGAATTAGAGTCTGTATTGTTTTCTGTGTAAGGCGGTTCTAGAGAATTAGAGTCTGTATTGGTATCTGTATAAGGCTGTACTAGAGAATTAGAGTCTGTATTGTTTTCTGTGTCAGGTTGTACTAGAGAATTAAAGTCTGTATTGTTTTCTGTGTCAGCCCGTACTAGAGAATTAGAGTCTGTATTGTTATCTGTGTCAGGCTGTACTAGAGAATTAGAGTCTGTATTGTTTTCTGTGTCAGGCGGTACTAGAGAATTAGAGTCTGTATTGTTTTCTGTGTCAGGCTGTACTAGAGAATTAGAGTCTGTATTGTTTTCAGTTCCAAGTTGTGCTAGGGAATACGATTTTGTATTGTTTTCTGTGTCAGTTTGTACTATAGAAATAGAGTCTGTATTGTTTTCTTTGTCAGATTGTACTAGAGAATTAGAGTCTGTATTATTTGATGTGTCAGGCTGTACTAGATAATAAGAGTCGGTATTGTTTTCTGTGTCAGGCTGTAGTAGAGAATTAGAGTCTCTATTGTTTTCCGTGTCAGGCTGTACTAGAGAATTAGAGTCTGTATTGTTTTCTGTGTCAGGCTGTACTAGAGAATTAGAGTCTGTATTGTTTTCTGCTCCAGGTTGTGCTAGGGAATACGATTTTGTATTGTTTTCTGTGTCAGGCTGTACTAGAGAATTAGAGTCTGTATTGTTTTCTGTGTCAGGCTGTACTAGAGAATTAGAGTCGGTATTGTTTTCTGTGTCAGGCTGTAGTAGAGAATTAGAGTCTATATTGTTTTCTGTGTCAGGCTGTACTAGAGAATTAAAGTGTAGTTTGTTATCTGTGTCAGGCTGTGCTAGAGAATACGACTCTGTATTGTTTTCTGTGTCAGACTGTACTAGATTATTGAAGTCTGTATTGTTTTCTGTGTCAGGCTGTACTAGAGAATTTAAGTCTGTAATGTTTTCTGTGTCAGGCTGTACTAAAGAATTAGAGTCTGTATTGTTTTCTGTGTCAGGCTGTACTAGAGAATTAGAGTCTGTATTGTTTTCTGTGTCAGGCTGTACTAAAGAATCAGATTCTGTATTGTTTTCTGTGTCAGGTTGTACAAGAGAATTAGAGTCTCTATTGTTTTCTGTGTCAGTCTGTACTAGAGAATTAGAGTCTGTATTGTTTTCTGTGTCAGGCTGTACTAGTACTAGAGAATTAGAGTCTGTATTGTTTTCTGTGTCAGGCTTTACTAGAGAATTAGAGTCTCTATTGTTTTCTGTGTCATGCTGTACTATAGAATTTGGAGTCGGTATTGTTTCTGTGTCAGACTGTACTAGAGAATTAGAGTCTGTATTGTTTTCTGTGTCAGGCGGTACTAGAGAATTAGAGTCTGTATTGTTTTCTGTGTCAGGCTGTACTAGAGAATTAGAGTCTGTATTGTTTTATGTGTCAGGCTGTACTAGAGAATTAGAGTCTGTATTGTATTAGAGTCTGTATTGTTTTCTGTGTGAATCAGAGTGGTCTGTATTGTTTTCTGTGTCAGGCAGTACTAGAGAATTAGTCTCTTTTGTTTTCTATGTCAGTCTGTACTAGAGAATTAGAGTCTGTATTGTTCTCTGTGTCAGGCGGTACTAGAGAATTCGAGTCTGTAATGTTTTCTGTGTCAGGCTGTACTAAAATAGTAGAGTCTGTATTGTTTTCTGTGTCAGGCTGTACTTTAAAATTCGAGCGTGTATTGTTTTCTGTGTCAGGCCGTACTAGAGAATTAAAGTGGTTTTTTTTTGTTTTTTGTTTTGGCAGGTTGTACTAGAGAATTAAAGTCTGTATTGTTTTCTGTGTCAGCCTGTACTAAAGAATTAGAGTCTGTATTGTTTTCTTTGTCAGGCTGTACTAGAGAATTAGAGTCTGTATTGTTTTCTGTGTCAGACTGTGCTAGAGAATTAGAGTCTGTATTGTTTTCTGTGTAAGGTTTTACTAGAGAATTCGAGTCGGTATTGGTATCTGTATAAGGCTGTACTAGAGAATTAGAGTCTGTATTATTTTCTGTGTGCTGTCAGAATTGTATTGTTTTCTGTGTCAGAATTAGAGTCTGTATTGTTTTCTGTGTCAGGCCTAGAGAATTAGAGTCTGTATTGTTTTCTGTGTCAGGCTGTACTAGAGAATTAGAGTCTGTATTGTTTTCTGTGTCAGGCTGTACTAGAGAATTAGAGTCTCTATTGTTTTCCGTGTCAGGCTGTACTAGAGAATTAGAGTCTGTATTATTTGATGTGTCAGGCTGTACTAGAGAATTAGAGTCTGTCTGTGTTGTACTAGAGAATTAGAGTTTGTATTGTTTTCTGTGTCAGGCTGTACTAGAGAATTAGAGTCTGTATTGTTTTCTGTGTCAGGCTGTACTAGAGAATTAGAGTCTGTATTGTTTTTTGTGTCAGGTTGTACTAGAGAATTAAAGTCTGTATTGTTTTCCGTGTCAGGCTGTACTAGAGAATTAGAGTCTGTATTGTTTTCTGTGTCAGACTGTACTAGAGAATTAGAGTCTGTATTGTTTTCTGTGTCAGGCTGTACTAGAGAATTAGAGTCTGTATTGTTTTCTGTGTAAGGCTGTACTAGAGAATTAGAGTCTGTATTGTTTTCTGTGTCAGGCTGTACTAGAGAATTAGAGTCTGTATTGTTTTCTGTATCAGGCTTTACTAAAGTATTAGAGTCTGTATTGTTTTCTGTGTCAGGCTGTACTGGAGAATTAGAGTCTGTATTGTTTTCTGTGTCAGGCTGTACTAGAGATTAAGAATCTTTATTGTTTTCTTTGCCAGGCTTTACTGGAGAATTAGAGTCTGTATTGTTTTCTGTTTTCTGTCTAGAGTACTAGAGTCTGTATAGTTTTCTGTATTGTTTTCTGTGTCAGGCTGTACTAGAGTCAGGCTGTACCAGAGAATCAGAGTCTGTATTGTTTTCTGTGTCAGGCTGTAGTAGAGATTTAGAGTCTGTATTGTTTTCTGTGTCAGGCTGTACTAGATAATTTGAGTCTGTATTGTTTTCTGTATTAGACTGTACTAGAGAATCAGAGTCTGTATTGTTCTCTGTGTCAGGCTGTACTAGAAAATTTGAGTCTGTATTGTTTTCTTTGTCAGGCTGTACTAGAGAATTAGAGTCTGTATTGTTTTCTGTGTCAGGCTTTACTAGAGTATTAGAGTCTGTATTGTTTTCTGTGTCAGGTTGTACTATAGAAATAGAGTCTGTATTGTTTTCTGTGTCAGACTGTACTAGAGAATTAGATTCTGTATTGTTTTCTGTGTCAGGCGGTACTAGAGTATTAGAGTCTGTATTGTTTTTGATATGTCATGTCCTACCTATATAATATAATGTCTTACCCATGTAATATCATAATCTACCCATGTAATATCATGTCCTATCATGTAATATCATATCTTACCCATGTAATATCATATCTTACCCATGTAATATCTGACTGGTTCCAATTGAAGGAAATTCGCCTTTCCCCGTACATGTAGACACACGATATACAGTACATAAAGGGCAATTTCTACAGGAAATCTGTCTTTGACAGAAAAAAAAACACAACAGACTATAACAATGTTTTTTTCTGGTGAACTGATCTAGCTTCAGACGATGTTGATTTTCAGACGATGTTGATTTAACTCTATATACGGTGCTCTGACGAGATACAAATATAGAGCGGACAGAATCAGCTGGCGAATTGGAGAGCACACTAGTCCACAGCGCGCCGTACATGGATCGTCTCTCTTCTGACGATGTGCATGTGTTGTAACAACATCACATTAGGAGAATACGTGTACAAAGCATCATGTGAATGCTTTAACCTCCAAACCTAATACCAGATTGTGGATAATGGGTTGTATGTAACCTCGGCGGACTGCTATTAAACTGGCACCTGACGTGGTGTGTGATCAGTAGATGTGGTACCCGATATTTTGGTCCAGTCATCACCACATGCAGTAATGGCTACGTATGTATACATGTAGTCTGTGTTAATTTCCGCTCCGAGTCAAATATTCTAATGGTTGGATGTATGTGTCTCTACCACGCAGTTGATTTTTAAAATTTTGAAGTGTGTTGATACTTGTGTTAATCACTGTACGAGCAGTAGTACAGATGTGGTGATATTTGTGCTCTAGCCATTGCCAAGCGGATTAATATCTAAGTGTGTTGATACTTCAAGTAGTCTTGTTTATGTCAGGCATAATACAAAAACACCGATTTTACAACATGTGTAGTAAACAAACCTTGACACCTACCATTTTTACTGAAGGAAATTAACATTGTCACCAATAACAGAGCATGGATATAAAAAAGGGAAAAGCCAAAGTGATGCATGTGTCACGTGGTAAGATTTAATGAATTGCGTTCAGGGTATAAGAAGTAAAATACTGAGACAATATGCTGTGACGTCATTATGACGAGGTATGTTCTGACAAGTAACGCTAAGATTAAAGTTTCCATACGTCATTACGATGGACATTGAGGTGATCTTCAAGGTTGTCGCTGTATGTACTATTCTGGCCCTCGGGTTGTTCGGAAGTGGCTATATCCTAGCTACAGCGGCGACCCACAAGTCCGATCCTACCCTTGGATATATCTACAAATGTGTCCTCGTATCCAACCTGCTAGCGATGTTTACCAACTTGTCCAATTTGCTCGTAGGCACCATTGCAGGTAAATATATACGTTTTACTTATGAAAACAGGTGAAATTATTACAGGTTATTAAGGAAGGCTGGGAACCATGGCAACCGAATGTTAGTAGATATAGTTGTTTTTATTTCGTACGAGGCCGACCATATATACTCACACAGACACTCTTCTACATCAGCAGCTTACCTCGTTTTTGTCCTACAACGAAACCACCAGGGACATTATTCCGCTAAGCTGTATGACACATGTGGTTATTCCGAACTCACAATCATTCAAATCCTATTTTAGACGGTAATATATTTGCTTTCTTATCTATGGCGTTGAAATGTTGCAGTTGATTCAGGCAATATCGTGACTGGCAGCTGACTGCAAAACTCACAAGACTAGGAGAAATGCAAGTTGATGAAAACTTTTATAAATTTTATGGGCGTCATAGTGATTTTTTTGTGATATATGAAATCGGTAACCGGATTTGGCTTTTGTTTTATATTGATTAACGCCCTGTTCACTGAACCGAACCGGTGGTTGTTAAATGTAGTTACCCATCGCCAACATGGCCGACCGATCCAGGTAAGAACTATACACGTCTCTATTTTCATACTTTGCAATATTGGAAACGTTTGCTACACTTATCTCGTGTTATAAATTTATATTTTGAAGCCTCTATGTAAGTAAACTAAGCTACAATACAAAAATAATGATGTAAGAGAGACAGACAGAGACATAGAGAGAGGCAGAGGAAGAGAGACACAGAGAGATAGACAGAGAGACAGACAGACACCACATATATATCAGGATACTTTCATAGAAAAAAGAATATATTGTGACACCATAGTGATCTGGACCCAATCTCAGATCTATTTAACATGGTAGCGTGTAGGCTATCACAAAATATGTAGGGCTAAACCCGATATATAAATAGATAATTAACGATTAAAGTCTTCATCAGGATTTTATGTTCATTCCATCTGCATTCAGGACTAAGTGATGCCAGTTCAATTGGTATATTTCTTGATAATCTGTTTTCCCTTTTAATTCAAACTGATCATGACATTACTTGAACCTGGACTTGACCTTTTGTTGTCATCCAATTCAGTATAATCAGATAACTAAGTAATCACCAATGAAGAATGTTCCAACAGCATCAGACTATCCTGTGGTTATTTGAACAAGTCATGTTTCTAGATGTAGCTCAGTCGTACAGAAAACAAGAAGATTATGATAAAGTTCAATATTTAATTAGGCTATGAATCTCATATGTGCAGAAAAATAAGTTACATTAATAATTCTATCAGACTCCCACAATCTTTCACACTTAATAGTTAATTTCTACAACTTCATATTCAAGTAATAAGGACAATATTATTACTATTAGCTTTCCTGGCATAAAATTAACACATTAACCAGAAGGCCTAAAGCTTACATTAACATAGACAAAATCTAACATACGCAAGTTAGGAAATTATACATTGATTCTAGGTCTGGTCTCTACACATTTCCAAAACATTTACATCCTTAGATAAAGTAAGGAAAAACTAACATTCATATTCCAGGCTTCTATTCCTTCTCACAAAAATAATATTCTTATTCTTACTAACAAAACATGCACTTTCAATACAAACGCGTATTTACTAAATTCAAATATTCTATCATCATACTTAACTCTCAATATTTCTTTCTCACTACTAAGCCTAGTACAAAATAGATCAACATACTCCTGTCAAACATTTGATAAGGTAACCACAGACCGGGAATTAGAAATTACTCAGTGATAAAAATACCACCCGTCCATCCCTATAAGAACGAATAGTCTGACTACGGTCCTAGTACGTTTACCATAACTATTATTGTAAAATAATAAATAATTAGAAAAACTTCTCAAAATTCCTATCAGTAATACCACCCCCGACATTTCACAGGACAAAAGAGACATATATAACACATACGTCTCTGATGACACCCACTATATGTCCAGATACCCCCATAGAAACAAGAATACATGTTAAGACATGCCCATAACACGAAATATTTCTCTAGATACACCCATAGCACCATGAAAACGTATGGAGACAGGTCAATAGCGCTTTGAATCGTTCGAAAAGAGTGACGGACTACTGAAACTGATGCAGGTATCGACCCTCCGACACAGCCTTGAGGTGACGCTACCGCAGGAGAATTGATGAGAAGTAAAATTGCACCACATAAACACACGATAAAGAACAGAATTGATCAGCGCAGACCAAAATGGCTATCTAAAATGACTAAGGGAATGTACACTAGGGTCCTTCAGATCAGTTTTCGTTTGGCAGAAGACATGGATATATAGACAACACCCATCAATTAACATCGCATTGATGACCGCTGTTACAGCTAGTATGTAAGTTTTCTACCACTGCAGACATTGCTTACAAATAACCGACACCTACATCTTGTCTCTTCGGCCTATCCTTCGTCCAGACCTTGCTTACAAATAGCCGATACATATATCTTGTCTCTTCGGCCTATCCTTCGTCAAGACCTTACTTACAAATAGCCGATACATATATCTCGTCTGTTTGGCCTATCCTTCGTCCAAAGTAGTCATTGTTGGTTTGTTGGGTCTATTGTACTGTGAGCAGGCAGGCTCTTATTGAGGTGGGGTCTGCTTATAGTAGCTGGTGACTACTTCGGTGAAAATATAAGGGAGGCCCATCGCAGGTCACCCGGAGGATAAAGTGTTGTGCACAAGGATACGACCACAATAGCCCGGTCCGTCTCTCAGCCCCATGAGAAACACAAAGCGTCACGGGAAGGGAGAATCGAACCACGCACTTCTTTATCTAAGGTTTCGTAGTGCAACGTTAAGTCTTAGTAATCCTACTTCTATAACATAGAATACCGTCACTTATATTCACACCAAAGAACACCGCCAGACCTAACACCACAGAACACTGCCATACCTAACACCACAGAACACCGCCATACCTCACACCAAAGAACACCGCCATACTGCACACCACAGAACACCGCCATACCTCACACCAAAGAACACCACCATACCCAACACCAAAGAACACCGCCATACCTCACACTAAAGAACACCGCCATACCTCACACCACAGAACACCGCCATACTGCACACCAAAGAACACCGCCAGACCTAACACCAAAAGAACACCGCCATACCTCACACCAAAGAACACCGCCAGACCTCACACCAAAGAACACCACCATACCTCACACCAAAGAACACCGTCAGACCTCACACCAAAGAACACCGCCAGACCTCACACCAAAGAACACCACCATACCCAACACCAAAGAACACCGCCAGACCTCACACCAAAGAACATCGTCATACTTCCCACCAAAGAACATCGTCATACTTCCCACCAAAGAACACCGCCATAACTCACACCAAAGAACACCGCCAGACCTCACACCAAAGAACACCGCCAGACCTAACACCAAAGAACACCACCAGACCTCACACCGAAGAACACCACCATACCTAACACCAAAGAACACCACCAGACCTCACACCAAAGAACACCACAATACCTAACACTAAAGAACACCGCCAGACCTAACACCAAAGGCCACCACCATACATCACACCAAAGAACACCGCCAGACCTAACACCAAAGAACACCGCCAGACCTCACACCAAAGAACACCGCCATAACTCACACCAAAGAACACTGCCAGACCTAACACCAAAGAACACCGCCAGACCTAACACCAAAGAACACCGCCAGACCTCACACCAAAGAACACCGCCAGACCTAACACCAAAGAACACCGCCAGACCTCACACCAAAGAACACCGCCAGACCTCACACCAAAGAACACCGCCAGACCTCACACCAAAGAACACCGCCAGACCTCACACCAAAGAACACCGCCAGACCTCACACCAAAGAACACCGCCAGACCTAACACCAAAGAACACCGCCAGAACTCACACCAAAGAACACCGCCAGACCTAACACCAAAGAACACCGCCAGACCTAACACCAAAGAACACCGCCAGACCTCACACCAAAGAACACCGCCAGACCTAACACCAAAGAACACCGCCAGACCTAACACCAAAGAACACCGCCAGACCTCACACCAAAGAACACCGCCAGACCTCACACCAAAACCTAACACCAAAGAACACCCAGACCTCACACACCAAAGAACACCGCCAGACCTAACACACCAAAGAACACCGCCAGACCTAACACCAAAGAACACCGCCAGACCTAACACCAAAGAACACCGCCAGACCTAACACCAAAGAACACCGCCAGACCTCACACCAAAGAACACCGCCAGACCTAACACCAAAGAACACCGCCAGACCTAACACCAAAGAACACCGCCAGACCTCACACCAAAGAACACCGCCAGACCTCACACCAAAGAACACCGCCAGACCTCACACCAAAGAACACCGCCAGACCTAACACCAAAGAACACCGCCAGACCTCACACCAAAGAACACCGCCAGACCTCACACCAAAGAACACCGCCAGACCTAACACCAAAGAACACCGCCAGACCTAACACCAAAGAACACTGCCAGACCTAACACCAAAGAACACCGCCAGACCTAACACCAAAGAACACCGCCACCACCTCACACCAAAGAAAGACACACCGCCAGACCTAACACCAAAGAACACCGCCAGACCTAACACCAAAGAACACCGCCAGACCTAACACCAAAGAACACCGCCAGACCTAACACCAAAGAACACCGCCAGACCTCACACCAAAGAACACCGCCAGAGACCTAACACCAAAGAACACCGCCAGACCTAACACCAAAGAACACCGCCATACCTCACACCAAAGAACACCGCCAGACCTCACACCAAAGAACACCGCCAGACCTCACACCAAAGAACACCGCCAGACCTAACACCAAAGAACACCGCCAGACCTCACACCAAAGAACACCGCCAGACCTAACACCAAAGAACACCGCCAGACCTAACACCAAAGAACACCGCCAGACCTCAACACCAAAGAACAC